TGTGCTGGCGGCCGCAGCGGGGAGCTGGCTCCTGGCTATTCTGGCGGCCGCAGCGGGTGCAGGATGTGCTGTCTCTGCTCCCCAGCGCGCAGCTTAATGAGACTGGGGCCAGAATACCGTGGTGGGGGAGCAGAGCCAGCACAGCCAGCTCCTCTCTGCAGCCACCAGCACAGACAGCCCACCGAGAAATTTCCCAGTATCTCGGTGGGCCAGTCCGGCCCTGCCCCTGTCAGCCTCAGCCCATAGCCATGGCTGCCAACAGGCATTTGCCCGGTTTGCCTGATGGCCAGACCAGGCCTGGTGGTGGTTTAAATAATAACAGGAGAAGGAACCTATTTCAACACACAGATCCCACCAACTGGCAGAGTGTGATTGGTCTAAATATAATAACAGGGACCTGTTGTCCACCTTATCCCCCATGCACTGCCGGAGAGTGGTAGGTTCTAAATAAAAAATGTAGGAGACACCTTTTGTCCACCCCCAGTCCTTACCTCTTGATGACAGGTGGGGCTCTAAATATAATAACAAGAGAGGACTTAATGTCTCCCAAAACCCCCACCCTTTGGCACCAGGCCACTATTTTGCAAGGTCGGACAACAGTATGTTCACCCCCTTTGTATATCTTATTACTAACACACATGCCGCAGGTCCTCTGCCAGGTACCCCCTTTTGAGACAGACATGCCTCTATCTGTGGGATGGCGGCTGGGGGCATGAGGAAGTCCCATCCTTTGGGCAGACGTGCCTCTATCTGTGGGATGGTGGATGGGGGCCTGAGGAAGGATTTCAATCTCCCTTTTTAGTAATATGGGGATCCATCACCTATGGCGTTTGTAATCAAATTACAAGGAGGGAGTCAGTAACTCTCTTCTTGCAATTAAAGAAATAAACGAATGATTGAATTATTTGAACAAAATTTAATTCAGCAAGCAATTCAGTCTTCATTTATTTTGTTGCGCTTTACATTTCACCGTTCATCTTTTGAATGCTCAAGTTTAATGGAGAAATGAGGTATGTATCGAAAGTGGCACAGCAGTTTCAAACAAAAATTTTTGTTTGAGCTAATATACTATTTCATTTGCACCAATGAATAACAAATAGGTACTACTTTTTTTAATGACAAAAAACTTCCACAGTCAGAGAGGTGGAGTTTCTGAAACAGGTCTTCCTTCGTTTGCTAGTTTGTGGAGGTTTAGCTCAGGGCCGGACTGGCCCACCGGGATACCGGGAAATTTCCAGGTGGGCCGTCGGCACCTGGGGCCGGACAGAGAGCTGGCTGACCTGCGGCCGCAGGGGGAGCTGGCTGTTCAGGCGGCTGCAGGAGGGAGCTGGCTCCTGGCTGTTCTGGTGGCCGCAGGGGGGAGCTGGCTGTGCTGGCTCTTCTCCACCGCGCGCACTACTTAATGAGACCAGGGCCGGAATATCCTGCATCATTAAGCTGTGTGCTGGGGAGCAGAGCCAACACAGCCAGCTCCCCCCCTACGGCCACCAGAACAGCTAGGAGCCAGCTCCCGCCTGTGGCCGCCGCAACAGCCATGAGCCAGCTCCACACTGCGGCTGCCGGAACAGCCACCTCCTCTTGCAGCCGCCAGCACACCTGACCCAGCTGTCTGCCCTGCAAGACTCCTGTCCGATCGCCCACAGGTAGCTATATTATGTGTCAGTCCGTCAGGGTGTGTGTGTATGTGTCATGGTGTGTGTGTATGTCTGTCTGTCTGTTATGGTGTGTGTCTGTCATGGTGTGTGTGTGTGTGTGTCATGGTGTATGTCTGTGTCATGGTGTGTGTGTGTGTGACTATCGTGGTGTGTGTGTGTGTCTGTTAAGAAATGTGTGTGTCCGTCAAGGTATGTGTGTGTCTGTTAAGGTGTGTCTCTCATGGTGTGTGTCTGTGTGTGTCTGTCTGTCTGTGTCAAGGTGTATGTGTCATGGTCTGTCTGTGTCATGGTGTGTGTCTGCCAAGATATGTGTGTGTCTGTCAAGATGTGTGTGTGTGTGTGTCTGTCATGGTGTGTGTGTGTGTCTGTCATGGTGTATGTCTTTGTCATGGGGTGTGTGTGTGTCTGCCAAGGTGTGTGTGTCTGTTAAGAAATGTGTGTGTCTGTCAAGGTATGTGTCTGTCTGTGTCAAGGTGTATGTGTCTGTGTCAAGGTGTATGTGTCTGTGTCAAGGTGTATGTGTCTGTGTCATGGTGTGTGTGTCTGCCAAGGTGTGTCTGTCAAGGTATGTGTGTCTGTAAAGGTGGTTTTGTGTCTGTCATAACGTGTGTGTGTCTGTCATGGTGCATGTGTGTATATGTGTGTGTTTTAAAAAAAAGTGTTTTTACTCACTTTTTTTTTTTCCCCACGCCGTGCTGCGGGGCTGGCAGAGATTTTTTTTCCAGGGCTGCTTTGTATCCCCAGTCTGGCCCTGATTGAGCTAGTATAAACAGGCAGCCATTTTCATATTGTTCAATTTTAACTTGCTTACCTGGATGAATTTGTCCCTCCCTCTAGGCTAGATGTTCCTGGGGATTTGGTTCCCATTTTTCACAGCGGCAGGTTAGTGAGTGAAAGGTTAGGGTTAAATAATGTATGTTATTTATAAGTGTTGTTATTGTTATTAATAAAAGCCCATATACCTAGTGTACTTGTCTAATTGGGTTAGATATAATGGAGGGGTGTCAAATAACAAGGTTAAACCTCTGTATATTCAAATGACTGATGGCAGCCTAATGACAAGTGGTAGCAGAATCCATAGGAAATAATGAGTTTGCCAAGAGAGGCAGTATGAAGTGACAACAGAAGGGGATCAAGAACAGAACCTTGGGGACTCCAACCGAGACAGGATGAGGGAGGAAGTGTCATTGAAAAAGTAGAGACTGAATGAGCGTTGGTAGAAATAGGTAGAGAAACTCACCAGAGGACAGTGTCAGAGACAGGGGGTTCCAAGAGTTTGGAGAAGGATATGATCAAGAGTGTCAAAGGTGGCAGAGAAGTCAAGAAGAATTAGCATGGAGAAGTGGCCTTATGAGTGTGCCCCTTCATTCTATTCTCCACTTTGTTTTAGGACAGCACTTTCTAGTCATGCCCTCTGATTCAGTGAGGAGTGAATGGTATTTCTTGGTTCTCTGACTCCTAATGTGACTTCAGGAAATCTGCCATCATACTTTGTATGACGAGTATTGCTTGTTAACAAGCTCCTTCAACCTGCTGTGTGCTATTTTGGAATAACAGATTTTAAAACTGTGGCATGTGCTCCCTTGTAGTTCCTGGAGGAGCATGGCTGAGTTTGTCCTGACCTATACTGTGACAGTCTGGCTCAAGTCCTTTTTCCACAGAAAGAATGCCATTCCCGTTAGTAGTCCTGCCCTTTGATATAGAGAAATAGACCCTGGTTACTGAGGTCCCATTACCCTCTATGGAGCTCTCACTGATTGCTCTGGCAACGCACACACTAGGCTCGGGTGGATCACCTGTTAGGGTTCGGCTCCGGTGCCTGCAGAAGCTGCTGCTGTTACGGTGAGACTAACACAGAGGGGAGAATGCAAGCATGAACCTACTGCCCTGTAACCTGCAGGGCAACGGCCTGCTGTATGCAGAGCCGGTGCAAGGATTCCTGCCACCCTAGGCAACAATCCATTTTGCCACCCCCTCATGAATGCAACTACATTCCCTCAGATTTATTCCCTAAACTCTGAACTGCAGTGAAGAGACATTTAGGAAAAGAGACACTGAGTAGACATTAAAGGGAAACTATAGTGCCAAGAAACCAAACTAGTTTTCCCTCACGCTATAGCTTCCCCCTGTCAAGCGCCCTTACCTTGTGGTGCAAAAGTCCCTTCCGTCACTTACCCAGGGCCACGCTTATGTAGCTCGGCACTGACTCACTATCACCTTCACTCCTCAAATGGCCGCATTAGGATTTCCCCTTAGGAAAGTATTATACAATGTTTTCCTATGGGGTTTTGCAAGATGCTGGACATCCCCATGAATAGCCACTAGAAGTGGAGTTAACCCTGAACGGTAATCATTGCCGTTTGTTAAAGGGACAATGTAGTCACCCAGACAACTCCAGCTTAATGTTGTTCAGGTGAGAACTATAGCTCCCAGCAGCCTCTCATGTAAACACTATTTTCTGAGGAATATATAGTGTTCACATTGAAAGCTAGGAACACCTACAGTTTTAGTCACTCAGAGGGACTCCTGAGTTGGAGGCATAATAGGCCTCCATCCACTCAGATCTGCCGTGCACGAGCATCCTGTGATTCAGTATCTCCTCCCTCTGTACATTGAACTTTCCTCAGAGATTCTTTGACTCCATTCATCTATATGAGGAGATGCTGATTGGCCAAGGATGTGTTTGAATCATGCTGGCTCTGCCTCCTTGTCAGTTTTAGCCAATCCTATGGGGAAGCACTGTGATTGGATCAGGTTATCACAGGTCAGCAGAATGCTTGTTTTTCCCTGAGTCTAACAGCATGCAGATTTACAGCTTCTGGCTTGAATACAGTAAGATTTACTACATTTAATGGAAGCATGAGAGGCAAGACAAAAGACATACCTTGTGTAGAGTAATTGATGAGCTTCACAGGTTGTCCTTCATCCTAACTGTCAACTGGGGTTTAGTCCAGTTCAGATCCTAAATACACCACTGCATGACGTGACATCAGGTTTAAAAAGCTACTTCCCTTGACATTCCATTGATTGACTCAATTCCCTGGGCAGAGTGTACCCGCAAAAACACAACCCCTACTGCATTATACAATAGTCATGGAGTGCCAGTTGGCAAGTCATTTGGCTGACATCTAGGTTACTAGCCAGGATTGTTATAGTGTGGAGCTACACATACCACTAATGTCCATAGATTTAGGGATGTTACAGTAAGGATAAGGAAAGATACCAAGAATTGAGACCACCCCCTGTGGTATTGTAAACAGATCTACAGACATTGGAACAAGTGATTGTAATTTGTTTTTATTTTAAACCAAGGCAGAACATTGAATTGATGTAGTTTATGCAACAAGAGGCATTCTGTAGGGTTTGATTTGTCTGTGCAAGACCGTATTCCATACAGAGGATCAGTCCATCTCATGGTTTGTAGTCTTCCTGGGTGACCATCAAGTTATAGTGACTGATCCCTTTCCACATTCCCTGTATCATGGTCTCATAGCCAAACAAGGTGCGGATCTTGGCACGGAACGGTACATCCATTTCTCCCTTGGTCACAGATGCGACCATACGTATTGAATGCCCTCCTGGTACCTCCACATCTGTGCTGGAGGAGAAGGTTGTCTGCAGAAGAAGTCAGATGGTTAGATACTGGCAGGAGCAATATTTCATCATGAATAGTCAAGAACATGTTACCTGTACAGAATATCCATTTATTGCACAAATTAACTGGTTGAGAGAAGGGTCAAAAAGCATGATGCAGCTTTAGGCTATTTCTATTGTTTGACCTCATGTAAGTAAAGGTTGGGCAATAGTGTACAGACTGGCCAGGAAGGCTTAAGCTGTTCTTGTTATATGGGTGGCTTGTTACAGCTGCTCCAATATAACAAAGGATATCTGTGGCTGTGAGTCTGTAGATGTGCAAAGGTTAATATATGGTGCTAGTGTGCTACCATAGCATTTAACGTGGGAGTAAAAATAAAATAGGACCGTTTTGGGACGCAGCACTTTCTCAAATTTACAAACAGTTCCTTTTGTCCAAGATGAGAGTCAAGGAACCCATAACTTGTATTAGGTATTAGCTAGTGAGTTACATGCAACGTCAGGACACATTATACCATGCCTGTTGCTTCCCCTCCAATAACGCAAAAGCATCTTCTAAAACAAACTATACCAAATCTGAACATACATATTGATACCTTGCCACCACCATTATTTAATCCACCCTTACCTGGATTTCATTGGTCTTGGCGAAATTCCAGGTATGAGTTGTGCTCACATTGATGGAAATCTTGGTCTCCATTTCTCCTATGAATGGGACTCCAGCTTTGAAGGACATCTCTGCACCAACAGCCACTGTGAATCCATGTTCCTGGCTGAAAGTGCTGCTCTCAGTTATGGTCTTGGAGAAGCTAGAAAGACAAACCCTTCACATTAATATATTGAGAGAGAAGGAGAATAGCCTGAGACAATCCAGAAAGGATATTAAGCTAGTCACTGGATTTTTGACCACCCTTTCCTAGGAGAATTGGAAAATTATGTCATGTTTGCCTCCAACTCTTTATTGGTGTGTGGGGGCGGCAAAAAGGAATGCCCTACTGTATACTATGACATACATACCCTGGGTAATGTGAGGGAGCAGTGTGTGTAGGAAGGAGGATATTGTGATCTTATTCTTGCAGGAACTCGGCCTGCAAGGTTGCATAGGATCCCAAATCTTGCCAGTGTGCACAATATGGAACATTTCTGGGCTGCAACTAGCTAACAGAATTACAAGGATTTCTGGATTTGCCATGTTTGAAGCTAGAAAGGTAGGTAGGAACTGCACTCAGTCCCCAAGCAGCCACCCAGTGCAGGACCAACTATCCCACTACAGCAAAGCTAGTAGAAAAATAATCATCCCCCTCCCCCGATGTTAGAGCCACAGGCAGGTTTATTGAAACAAAGGACAAACGTTCCAACCCAACAAGAGGTTTTTGTCAAGAACTGGGATGTGACCCACAAAAATAACCCAACATTGTGCATGGTAGGACACCATGAATAGTCAGGTCAAACAGGAGGACAAAGATGTAGTCTGAGACCAGACATCTGGACAGTTTTCCTGGAGGTATTCTAATATTTGCCATTACAAGTCAATTCCTTCCTTGATAACCAGACAGTTCCATCCAGAAGTGAAGTGTGAGGGAAAACCTGTGCAAAAGACATGCTCACCTCAGACAAGCATTAGCAACCAGTAGCTTCTAGCAACTACAAGTTCCCAGACTGACAGTTGTGGTTTGCTGGTAAAGCACAGAAACACCTGAGAATGCAACTTCACCTCGTGTCAGGGACTGGAACAAGACTTGTTCAATAGGAAGGGTTAATGCCCCTTCTGCCTGACTAGAAGCAGCCAGCAATGAGAAATAGGATAACAAACCAGTCGCTGAGTCTAGTAGACATTAGTGACTGGCTTTCTGTAGCAGAAGCTAGCAACTATTTTAAGACTGGAAAAGAGACATTTTCTGCGTAGAATCAGAACTGCACTCAATCCCATAACTCTGGGCCAGGGTGCAACTAAACCAGGGGCCAGCACTGGTTCCCAGATACCGTATGCAAAGACATAGGTTTAGGCACTCCATGGTCCAAAAATAAAGGGAAAGTTTAATTAAACCAGATCAGCAGCAATGTTTCAACCTTTAAAAGGTCTTCCTCAAACTAGCAAATAAGGGATACACCCCATCATTTTAGAAGCACAATCACAAAATGAGTGCAATTAAAAAGCATCACATAAGTGAAGCTCACTCATTAAGGAGGACTGGCAGCAGTGTTGAAGACTATGACCAATGTAAGAGCAGTATATCCAGAACACACAATTGTTCAACAGAACAACCTCAGAGCACATCTAATGGCAATTATATTCCCAAATCTATCCTGCGAACTTCCAATTCAGAGAAAGACCTTAAAGGTCAAACTGTTGCCGCTTGTCATCTAGTTTGATTAATCTTGCCTTTCTTGGACCACCTAAACCTTTGTTTTGCATAGAAAAGTCACAAGCACCAACACAGGCATTATAAATAAAAGCACTGTCTGCCACGAAGTAACCCTAGGACTGTAAACAAGGCTTTCCTCAACCTTGGTAAGACAGACACCATGCTCTATTCAGCCAGTATAGAATCATGTAACTTATGAAGGATTTTAATGTAGAGAGACCACCAACCTTTTAGTATTTAAAGTACTATGTAATCTTGTCAATAGGTAGAAGTACCTGCAGAGCTAAAGTCCTATTCCATTAGTCAGGCCTAGAAGTGTGTGACTACTGCAAGCCTGAAGGATCCATGGAACACTGAGGGTGAATTTCTGCTTGCCACAGCTGAAGTGGTCACTCGCCAGTGGCAAGTTGAAATTGGGATCCCTGAGTGGATGAGATTCAAGTTGCCATTACTTACGAGAAGGTGTGCTTTAATGGAGTGCTGCTCTTGTTGTTATAGATCTGGGTCTGCACCACCTCTGTGCCTTGGGATAGGATTTTCCCTGAATCTGGCAAGAATTCAAAGCTCACAATACTCTGGATGGTTTTATCAATGGTGAAGGAAAGGAGGGGGTAGACATTGTAACCCCAGCCCAGTTTCTCTGCCTTTTCAATGTAGTTGGTATCAGCCTTGGTCGGTGCTGGTCCTTTATAGATGTTGCCATTCTTTGAATCCACACACCACAGGTCCGACTCTAGGGTGAAAGCCATGAAATGGGTCAGAATGCGCCAGCCTCCTTTTCCAATGGTTGTGCTGGAGGCAAGCCAGTTATCGTCTGGTTTGGTTGGAGGGCTTCTCATCACAAGCTTGTCGTCACTGGTCACTGCATACAGGATGCCTTTAGGGTCAAAGAAAAGGGCATCAAATTCATGCCAGCCGCCGGTTCCTATTTTAGTGGCTTGGCCATAAAGCCAGGACACGTTTTCATTGCTCGGTGCTGGACCCTTGTAGAACTCCCCATTCTTGGTAGATGCATACAGAAGGCCATTTGGATCAAAGAAGATGAATTTAAACCCTTCCCAGTCAGTTTTGCCCACTCTCTTGGCAGTAGAGAAAAAGTCCAGGTTTGGATCTGAAGGCATAGCTCCCATGAAGAGTTCTTTACCACGCACAGCAAACAGCACCCCTTCTGGGTTAAAGGCAATCTTACTGACATTATTCATCTTCCCTACAATGCTAGATCTGGCATCAAAGCTATCCAGAAGATTCTTGGGTGGTAATCCAGCTCTGGCAACATAATCCTTCACAGCAAACAGGAGGGTATCTGGAAGTCAATAGGAAGAGGTTATAGCCACTATTGGTAGTCCACAACACAATATGAAAGTACAACTGCAAGGGATTTAAGTCATAAGCCTAGATATTGAAGGTTTAAATTGGATTTAAGACGGTTCAATAAAACCCCAGCAGCACAGGAAACAACCCTTCCAGAACCCAGAGCTCCAAACAGGAGCCATTTCTTTTGGTCTACATTACAGGGTTCTTTTTATCTTCAAAAATTTCAAATGGACCAAGAAGGACACATGTTTTAGAGGTGTCAGTGTGGACAGGAGCTGGCCTGTTGCAAAATGTTTTAGGAGACTTCCTAACAATTTATGCAATGTAGGGACATTTGGGAGGTATGCAGTATTAAGGTTCTGTCCCACTGTCCTGGGTTTTTAAATGTGCTACCCTACCAGCAGCATTAGGTACAATTTTAAATGTATATAGCCAAACAGTAAAGTGTGTCACCAGGTCAGCTGAGGTTAAATTTTGAATTAGACATTTTTAATCCAGAGAGTTTATTTAAAGGAACACTAGTGTAAGAAATAGAAATATGGATTACTGATTCTAATGCTTGCCTCACGCTAACAAGGTGATTTTACTCACCTTTTCTCCCATACCAGTATGTGGATGTGATCAGTTTCGATGATCTCAACCCATCTAGTGACCCCCATAGGAAATCATTTAGGAGGTTAGTGTGTATGCTTTGCTCAAACACAATCAATTAGCATCTCCTCAGATTGAAAGCAAAGATACCAAGGAAGATTAACTAGATGCCAAATTTACGTAGAGAGAGATAGATATAGATATAGATATTATTTGAAGCACCAACAAGAGTACAGTGTTTCCACTTTGTCAATACCAACATTAAAGCCATTTAAACTGTATGTAGGACTCCTTGTGCACATTTGGCAGCATAGTTTTTTTATACTTGGATTTGGCCCTGATTTGAGAAACAGGGTGCAAGGTTAGCAGCACAGGTTAGGTTTGAAATCCAGGTGTTTTGGTACTAGAGTAACACCTCTATCACCATGCAGAGTGTTGAGACTGAGGGTAGACACAGAAAGCACCTCTAGTGGCCATTTGAATGTCTGCACCTAGGAGGTGGTACTAGAGAGTAAAAGAGAAATACATTGTATTTACATTGCAAAGCCTGTATGTTTCATCACCAGAACCACTGCCTTAAGTGGTAGTGATTCTGGTGACTATAGTGTCCCTTTTAAGATCACAGATGAGTTCTGTCAAACAGTAACAGTCAGTGAGGAACTTCTAAGACCATCACAGAATTAGTTAGCTATAAAGTGAGATACTCCCTACTAATGCTCAGTATATACAGCCCTGCAGAATGAGCTTCCAAAACACAAGGATCATTTACCTGGTGTATCCATTATCAGAGAAAGATCAGAAAACAAGCTCCCAAACTCTCAGCAGGGATCCTTTTGGGGTCTCTGGCTTGTGTGGATCACGAAAGGGCTCCAGATATATCTCTATCATTAGTGATTAGCTTTATAGTCAGGACCCCTCCCCACACACAGCTGTACCTGGTTTAATGAGCAGGGTTATCAGACTTTGAACAATGTGATACTAAGTTTACAGGTAGGTCACCACAATATTGCATTATACTGCTCTGGAAACAATTGGGGAGATGTATAAAAAATTGTGCATTATTTATTTTCTTCACACGTTTGTGGCTCATTTGCCATTTTGGGGCATTAAAGACAAGATTGACAATAATCTCCCCGATGTATAAAGTTGGAGTAACAGTTTTATACATGAGAAAATGGAACATTCACACAAAACAGGCAGAAAAGTTAATCAATGTGACAGTTTTTATATAAAACCTCCATAGAATTGTAGTAAATTAAAAACTGAATTATAAAATTTAGGGTAAAAAAATAAAACAAATAATTTGTGAAAACAGGCACATCAGATCGTTTTCCATACCAACAGTTTGAGGTTAATTCCCCAATCACCAAATCTTTCCTGGATGGAGAATAGACTTGGACACAACAGAAAATTAAGATTCTTCCAAATGTATGCAGACAAAAATTTTTTCTTTATCTGAACCAACTGTCGTCCTTTGTACTGTTTGGTTTGGATGAAATTCAGACAATATTTTCCAATAAGAGTTTAATTCAGACTAAAGAAATTCTGAGTCCCATCCTGCATCTTACAACTGTTGAGCTGATAACCCCCTAAACTGGTAAACTTATGTTGGGTTGCCATATTTAAGGGCACCAAATTAAGGAGATGATTAGTAAATAGCTCCATTATTTATTATTCTTATGCAAATCTCACATAAGGAGACCAACACTATTAACCCCTTAACGTTGGTGGGAGTTCTATGCCGTTCTTGGAGGCCCTGTCCTAAACGCCGGAGGGCAGCATATAATGTCCTCGCCTTCCTTAATACTTACCCGGTCGCCGGCAATCGCGGTAGGGGGACTCACCTGGCATCCCAGGGAATCCCCCTGCTTCCGATCCAGCCCTCCTGGGCATAGCCGTCCACAGCATTGCCAGCCAGGGGACTGCCTGGAATGACAGGTAGTCCCCCTGCTGGCTGTAAAATGTAAAATATAAGTTTAAAACAGTTAAAAATTAAATAACATATACTTAGATCATATATATACACACACACACACACACACATTTAAACATACATACACTATCTAAGGTTTTTTTATTTTTTTTATTCTTTATTTTATTCGTGCATGAATGAACAGTTAGGTCTGTCACGCCACAATAGCAATGTGAGACCGTACATGAACAATCGGTAACATGGCATAAGAAATACTGTGCACAATTTTTTGTAAAAGTAAAAGTAACCAACAGGTTGAAACTGGATGTGTCAGTGACTATTAATGCATAAAGGTTACTGTCGCTTTGTTGTGTAATTTGACTCTGAGTAGTTAAGTATATTAAGGTAGCATGCTATGACATTGGTTGAGACATGAGTAAGCTAGTGCATGTGGGTCAGTACATTTAGCTTGGCAGTAGTGATGTCAGGTGTTTGCTCTGTATGTGCTTATAGTGGGCTAGTGAAGACCACATCAGATCTGGGCATGTGAGTTTATGTAGCTTGTCAGTTGAGTGGGGTGTCTGAACATACAGCTTGGCCATGGTCCTGGCCATGGTTCTGGCTTGTGAGATTTGCTTACAAATACGACAAGTAGAAAGTTATGCGTTTGGTAACAGGGAGTGTCAACTAGTAGCGTGCATTATATATCTGATTCTCTTCACTGTTTATAAATTACGTTTTAACATCAGAATACTCGTGTGGTTAGAATAAAACTAAAACTGAATCTACGTAATTATCAAGGCAGTAACAGTAAGCCGGAGAGCAGAATATAAGTGATTAGTCTGGGTACAGTCTCGGACCGGTTGAATACTGTCCTCAGCCTATGACCGTGGTAATCAGGCTGGGTGAAGATCATGTAGCAGGGTCCTGGTCGGATCCATAGTGGTGGGTAAGCTTTTCAGGCTGTGTCATCAGGTGTGTCGTGGAATATAGGTAATATAAGACAGAGTCCCGCATTTGTGGGTCACCCAGCCCCCACCCTCACCACAATGGTCTCGCTGCTAGTCCAAAGTCCAGTTATTTGATCTTGCCTCCGGGTGTTCGTGGGGCTCTATTCATTGTGGGTACCGCCTGTACTCTTTGCATATTGCGAGCAGTTGTGTAGGCCATTCAGCCTATGTCCTGTAGGGGGAAGCTGCAGGTGTATGAGAGTGTCTGTCTTGGGGGTTGGTGTGGTTGGCAGGGTGGTCAGAGGTCCCCGTGGTCTTTGTGTGGTACACCGATCGGGTGTATTGTTTGGTCATGCTCCGGCTTGGGGGTGAGTGCTGTCGCTCGTGAGGCATGTCACCTTTTCTCGCTCCCTTGTTAGTTGGCGCCGTCTCCGTCGGGAGGCTGCTCTGGTAGTTCTTGGCGGGAATCCGCACAGGTGTCGCTGGATTACCAGGCGAATCCATGCCGCTGCCATTCTCCTCACTAGCCTGAAGGCCTGACCCCGTCACGGAGCTTCTTCCAGATGCTTGCGCAGAGTTGGTCAAAGAAGTCCAAGGTATGTTTGGGTGGCTTGATGTGGATGCTTTGCGTCACCATCTTGCTTGTGCTCTGGCTAAGTCGTCTCTCCGTAGTGTTTGTCGCTTGTTCTCGTTGCTTTGCTGGGGTGGTCACCCCCAGTGTGGACCAGAATATCCCCCGCCGGTCCAGAGGGGGGGAGGTAGCAGGGCAGCGGTTGAAGCATGCTTGCTAGCGGTTCCCGTGCCGGGTGATCGGCCGCCTCCCTCCAATTTAGGCCTCGTGGTCGGTTCTAGCACTTGTGTCCTGATTTGGTGCGAGACAGGTACCTGCATGTTCCGTGCAGTGTCCTGCATCGTTTTCTGGGCACCATGTGCTGCTGACATTGTTTGGTTGTCCAAGATTATTGTTTTTGTACCCGCTGGTGCCAGAGCTTTCAGAGAGCACGTCTGGCCATCTTGGCAGTCAGGCCCCATTCCCCCCCCCATCTAAGTGTATTTAAATATATATTTATATATATCTGTGTTCGGGGCATTCTAATCAGATATGAAATACGCTGGTGAAGAGGAATAAAGTAAAAGGAAATAGTCGGTTGAGGTGTGCCGAAACTGATGTATGCTGTAGGCCGGAAAATAAAGTGGGCTTACATAGAGGAAAGTATAGCTAATGGGAGTGGAGGGTGGACCTGTTCGTCTAGACCAACGAAGGTAAGTAAGGGAAGGGGGGAGTCCCTTTAGTAGGTCATTAGCCCTTCCCACAACTTCAGGCCATGCCTTCCAATTTGTGTTCGGGGCATTCTCATCGGATATGAAATACTCTGGCGAAGAGGAATAAAGTAAAGGAAATAGTCGGTTGAGGTGTGCCAAAATCGATGTATGCTGTAGGCCGGTAAATAAAGTGGGCAAAAAGAGATAAATCAAAGAAAACATTTATTCAGAAAACATAGTACATTATTACATATTAAATAGACATCTTAATGAAAGCCCTCCTAATCTCTTGGACTGGGTGTGGGATGTAAGTGGCGTAAGCCGAGGACTTCCAGCGACCCAGTGTCTTAATTACGTGTGCTGGAATGTCTTGGCTAGATGCCGTGGAGGCCGCTCCGATTCTGAAGGAGTGCCCTGAGTAGTTGCTAGGGTTAAGACCAAGTCTGGTGATAAGCATACGGACATAAAGCATGAATTTTGCCGTGGTAAGAATTGCATCGTGTAGTATTAGTAGTGGTTTTGTGGTGCGTGTTGGTGTTGTAGCTAAGAAAGTGTCCAGTACTTTCACCGGACACCAATTGTTCCCTGTGGGGTAGTAGGTTATGTGAACCGGTTCTCCCATATGACTTGTTTTGGTCTTAGGTAGGTTCAGGATGTAGTAGTCTCTGTGTTTCATGAGGTAAGAGGTGAGTAGGCACCCTTGGCTATGGTGCTGGCCACTAATGGTGAATTCTCTTTGTGACAGAACCATCTGTCTGCTTATTGTGGTGGATTCGTCTATTTCTGCCCCGTTTGTGTAAATGGCTGTTTCTATAGCCCAGCCATATGAATGACTGTTTTCACCGAACAAATCTACCGAACGGAGGGCCACCCAGGATAGAAGTGTGCTGCTGGTTAACCTCTTGATCCCAATTAGAACGTTGTGGTTAACCGCAGACACTTCTCAATTAAATCGAATTCAGGGTGGCCGTCGTTCGTATGTCGACCACGAGGCAACGGCCATTTTAAAACACACGAAAGCCCAGCGGTGTTTGGCACTGATTTCATGGAACTAAAAACGGACACTTTTTCTGCCGAACGCTGCTGAAACAACGGGTCGCCTGGCTGCCTTGACGAAAGCGTATAAACACCGGCCGTTCAGGAGTTTTGCAACACACGAAAGGACTTAACCCAGATAGCCCTCCCATGGAGTCAATCGCATACCGAAAGACTGTAAGGATTTTGACTCCATGACGATTGAACTATGTGTGTGGAATATGAGCGCTATTCGCCAATAATATGCACTCAGATCCAGGCTATCTGGGGATATGTGATACGAATGGGAAATGTTCGGTTATTATAAAGTTATGTATTTTTATGTATTTTCTGGTATTGTATTTAAGATGGCGATTTGTCTTTGTCCTGGAGATAATTTAATTACTTCTCAATTATCTCCAGGGCAGAGGGGAGGAAACCATATTGCATTGTGGGAAAAGCTTGTGACTGTATGTCTAAAAATGTCCCCATGCCTGTCTGTAATTCCAGTCTCCCATTTGGTCCCCTAGGGGAGTGTCCACCAAGTGGGAGACCTGCATAAATACGGGCAGGTAGCCCACAGTAAAGCCAGATCCTGTTTGACCCTCAATGCGGAGCTTCTGTCTCGTTATTGGGGGGATTTCTTATTTGCGCTTAGAGACTGCTTACTTGAACCGAAAGCCGCTTGGTGGATATCGTTGTTCGGCGGCAAGCAGCAGTTTGTGG